TTTATATTCACAATACGCTAATCATACGTTGATCTAGGAACGACATTTTAAGAAATAAAGCCGAAAGACTTTGGAAATTCAATCTGACCATAAAAGGAGAAACCCGGTGAAATCTATCCGGACAAGTAGATCGATGCTTGAGCCATTCTGGCGATTTTTTGTATGAATCTTTCTGATCGTGCTACGTTACACTTAATCTTGAAATCTGATTTGTAGTCCAGGATATCTGCGTCGCAAACTTGGTATACATTATCCGAGTGCAAAGAAGACAACAATCATGTGAGTTTATCCTATCATCAGTGTATCATGGGAATCAATTAAATAAATAAAGTAATATGATCATTCTAACAACTCTTTACGGTTCGTCTTATAAATTCATTCTAACAGCTCTTTAAGGTTAGTGTTGGGATGATCATTCTAACAGCTCTTTATAATTAGTGGTAGGATAAGAAAGTTCGTATTATAAAATCATTCTAATAGCTCTTTATGATTAGTGTTAGGATGAGAAAGTCTTATTATAAATACCATTCTATAGTAGATCTCTATTCTACAGCTCTTTAGGTATTTTGATTAGGAACTCCACCACCTAATCTATTGGATTTTCTTTTAATAATATATCCAATTCACTTGTTCAATATCAATTATTCAATATGGCACTAAAAATAATCTTTATACTAATCTTTAACTCAGTGATGAAAATAAAAACATATTGATAATATTTATGAATTAAAAAATGATTTTGCCGGTTTATTTGATGCTAGACCTTAGTATTCATATATGTGTATCGGTGTATGGCTGTTATTATTATACAACATTATGCCCATAATTATTACTGCATTAATCGTTTAACAGACATTTAACCGTGTCCAGATATTTAACCAAGCTATGCTATATAGAGAATCCATATTAAGTAAAAGCAGTTAACAACTGGTAAGTGGTTGTTACAAAACCAATAACGAAAATAGGCAAAAAAAAACAGGATATGACTTTCGTTAGGTATAAAATAATTTAAATCTCTCTCTTTTTTAGAAAATCATACCGTTATGTGATACACCAAAAGTGCGGTTTAGTATAAGTCTTTTTAATAACTATCTATTAATTGCAATTTAATAGCTGTAATTAAAATTTTTTTATGATGGTAAATTTCATGTATCTACATTTTATCTACTATGTATCCTAGCATTTAATTCCATTCATCTAAAATCCTTAGTCGAGCAACTTCTTTGCAAATATTACATTCCATAGTACGCAGACTCAAATATGACTTTTTTTCGAATTCATCTGAAAATTTTATAGTTTTCCACATATGATATTCTAAATACGCTGTTTCATTTTTAGCCAAATATTTCAAGTAATTTGCAAGAGCTTCGATGTCTGGAAAATCTTCAATCAAAATAGCTGATTTAGGATGTGGTAAATATGAACGAACATTAGGTGCACCCCATACAACAGGTACATCACCTAATTTAAACGTATCCCAAAGTTTTTCAGTAGAATAGTCTTTTTCTTGACAATTTTCAATTGACAAATAAAACGGATATTTAGAGATTGCACAATTTTTAGCTTCAAATCTTTCTAAATTCAAACATTCAGGATAAAGATTCCAGGGGGTATTATAATGAACTTTACCAAAAGATGCGACAGACATATGAGCCTGAAGAGATGGAATAAAAGTCTTTCTGTATTCAGTCATATGAGTAGCAATAAATGAGATGAGTGTTGAATTTGGGGAAAGCTTTGTTAAGTTAAAAGGTTGAATTGTTCGCCATATTTCAGGATCAACTCGAACGTAACTTGTAGGTAAATCTGAATCTTCATCAAACGACGAATAAATGTCAAATAATTCATAATTAATATGGAAATTTGGATAATATGTCTTAGGCTCTAAAGTAAGTTTTATGTTTTTTTTTCCTTTCCATTCTTTCTCGCTTGGTTGGGTGTTAACATTAAAGAGAGCATCAACCGTTTGAAGTTCTGTAGGAGATAAGCTACCTGGATTTCCTTGTTTCCAGATACATGGCATATCGCAATCGGCTAAGGTTCCATCAGACTTATATTTAAGTCTTAGGAAGTCTTCATTGACATACCAACTTCCAGAAGTTATATATATCTTCACTTTCTTATTATTATTAAGATAGTTTGTTATGTAATGTCTTTGTTTCCATTCTATAAGGCTTGTAGGTTTAACCTTAAGCTTATCAATTAATAATGCAGTATGATTCATTTTAATCAAGTTATTAATCGACATTTTTGTAGTACTATTTATGATTGTTAACGATAAGAGGGCAACAAAGAAAAATGTAATTATAGTATAAATAAGGTATATTTTAATTCGTGGCAGTTGCATCTTGTTTGTCTATTATATGAATATACAATAAGTATTGTCGTATTTACGTAATATGTGAATAAAAAATTGAATACGTTCATAAAATTACAATTTTATAACACAAATTTAAAAATCGAAGTTACAAAAAACAAATTATTTATAAAATTATTAACCCTGATTACCAAATTTTGACTTACTAGTCATGATTAATTTAGCAACTATATAGAGGACTTTTTTGATTAAATTTGTAGATCTGATTGTTGTCCTATTGCGTGGTTATAATTGATTGTAATTCATTGTAATTGATTATAAAGTGCGTTTTTTGGCCAAATATTCAACAATAATATACTAGTCAATTTTAATGGTTACATATGGGCGGATTTTGTGATTTTCGTGATGTTTACGAATAAGATCTACCAATCAGATAAATAAAAATTGTGATTATTTCGAGTTTGTCTTACATTAAATTCATGTTTATTGGTTGCTTTTTTTAGCACAGTTGCCACAATAGTTAAAGTGCTGTTTCTTTTTACGAAGCCCCAGGTTTTGTTTTTTAACATTACGGCTTGAAATTCCTATATTTATGTTCAACAAGATCCTAAATTCAAAGATCCAACAATAGTTTTTCCAGATCCACGAATGGACATAACTTTCGCTAGTAACAATGCCAAAGGGTTCACAGCGTAAGAATACAGGACCATGTGCAGTATGTGGCATGGACGACCTTAAAGAAAGGTTTCGCAAACTGACGCCAAAGGCTTTGTCTAAAGCTATGCAAAGTCCAGCTGCTTCAAAGTTAAAGAAGAAACTTCAAGTAGATGATCAGCTTTGTCATAAACATTATAGTGAGCTAGTAGTATTTGATAGAAACCTTCCAAGCCCAAATAAAAGACAGAAATATGGATCAAACTTAGCTTATGATCTTCATGAAAAGCAAATTGAAGACGTAAATTCAAATGAACAATTCAATATTGGTAATACTAGTAATAGTTACCAAAGCGGCATAGGTGTCCATGAAGGTGGATTCGAATGGTACTTAGAATTTGCCGGAGATAGAAATTCCAATGAACAATTAAGTGTTGGGAATTGCTATCAAAATGGCATTGGTATCCCTAAAGATGAAAAAAAAGCATTCGAATGGTTGAAATCTGCCAGTAGTGGAAATTCAGATGGGCAATTAATTGTTGAAAATTGTTACCAAAATGGCGTAGGCATCCCTAAAGATGAGAAGAAAGCATTTGAATGGTACTTGAAATCTGCCAGTAGTGGAAATTCAAATGGGCAATTAAATGTTGGAAATTGTTACCAAAACGGCATAGGCACTCCTAAAAAAAAAAAAAAAAGCATTTGAATAGTAATTGAGATTTGCCAGTGGTGGAAATTTGAATGGACAATTAAATGTTGGGGATTGTTATCGAGATGGTATAGGCATTCCTAAAGATGAAAAGAGAGCATTTGAGTGGTACTTAAAATCTGCTAGTGGTGGGAATTCAGACGGGCAATTAAATATTGGAAATTGTTATCAAAATAGCATAGGTATCTTTAAAGATAAAATAAAGGCATCTGAATGGTACATGAAATCTGCTAATAGCAGAAATTTAGATGGTAAATTAGAGGTTTCTAATAAAAACAATATTAGAAAATGACCTCCAATTATTATCAGGGCAAAACAACCGATTTTTTGCTTTTGGGAAAGATTCTAAAAAAGAACTTTCAGCTTTAATCACACAGTATAAGTTAACTGCAGAAAATAAAATGCCAATTGTTCATATACATAAAGTTCAATTGGGCTTTAATAATGAAACAATTAACTTAAATTACCAATCATCTAAAAAAAAAATAGAACTTTCTAAGCTAGATGCCACCGTTCGAGCATGTGATGAATCCTTGTTGTCTCGAGACGGTTATCATCAATTGGCTAGTGTGGAGCCCTAGCTTATTCGAGAACATCTTGTTGCTGCACGAAGAATTGAAATAACAAATTCAATAAATGAGACAATTAAAATAGGAACTTTTAGTATTAATAGTCGAAGTAGTCAACCCTGTATTTATGATGAAATAGTAGTCGATCAATGTGAAATCAGAAATGGTGTTTATAGGTCAATCAGATCTATCTTAACTATACTTCTTCCTATTTGGAAGCAGTTTTCTCTGCCTATTCTTGTCCTAGGAAATACGATTAAATTAAAACTTGGAGGTGATGATTGTAACGTTGGTCGGAAGCAAAACCATGTGATGGTGACTGTTTGTCTTTTAAATGAAGGCAAGAAGGTTTTAAAACCTAATAATCAATATTGGTAAGATTATAACGAATACTTTAAGTAAGTTTAATTGTATAGTATTTAATTATTTTAATTATTTTGTTACTTAGTATTTGTCTGTATGTTGGGCACGAAAAGTATGAAGTGTTGATGAAGGTTGGATGTATATTTGAGCATGAGCTCTCTGATCTCAAGAATAATGGTTTTTTGGATAGTGGTGATATTCGTTGGCCTGTGGAGTTGTATTTTTGCAGGGATTGGAAGTTCATGTATATTATAATGAGATTAAATGCTCCAAATGCCAAGTATTTTGCTTGTATTATAATTGCGATGCAGAATTGCGATAGGATGTGAATCAGGTTTGGACAAATGATGGCAATTCTAAATGTAAGTTACATACTTTCTTTAGAGTATTGTATAGAATTTATTAATTTTAAATCGATATTTTCAATTAGGTACAAAAAAACCATCCTTGTTTCTAGCAATTAATTAAACCCATTATATTCCCGATGAGTTGCACTTGCTTCTACGTATATCAGATGTATTAATGGAATGTTTTTTCAACGACTTATTCAAAAAAAAGAATTCGAAAAACAAATCAAACCTACTATTGAATCAGTATTTAAAGACCTTGCAATTTGGTTCAAATTTTTTAAATCAACGAACAACAAATGGAACTGGACTCCATTGATGGGTTTGGATAAAAAAAAAATGTTAGAAATGTTTCCAGTGTCACAATTTATTTCTGGTGTATGAGGAAAAGATATTGAGCAATTGTGGCATGAATTTTACCGATTATATAAGGTTTTACAATGATCACAACTTTCTGATCAAGAAATCTATCAATATAAAACTGATGAGAAAATTGGATTCGAACGTTTTGCCGTCCTTCTCTGGGCTCTATAAATTCTTTGCAAAAATGTGAGCTTTATCGAAATGCAGATGTAACACTGTATATGCATGTATTTGCAAAGCATATACCTTTATTTATGCAGCAATTAAAGACAGAAGGTCTTTCTTCAAAAATTTTTTCCACCTCAGGCATAGAAAAAAAAAAATCATGAGCAGGTAATATAAACTTTAGCTAAATTATATTTGTAATGTGTATTTTTTAATAAATTTATTATTAGGTTTGATTATTTTTTGGAGGTACGACTATGGGAGGGGTGCAAAAAAAAATTCTGTCGTCTATGATATAATGTCCTTTGAAAATCGGCAACTCTTTTATTTAATGAACAATACTCCCACAGAAATTACTATCCGAAATATTAATGTTAATGATAAAGAAAATTTATTAAATTAAAAATAAAATAATTAGCTTATTTGTATATAAGGCAAACAAAATTTTCTTAAAAAATTTTTTAACTCACCAGCCCGGATCTAATAATTACCGTTTTATAATTAATTTGAATACAAATATTATCTTGAGTTTTTTTTTTTTATAGAAAGCTTAAGCTATTACAAAGAGTCTCATAGTGGTAATATTTTGCAAGGCCAACAATCTTATATCGCAGGTCTAGAATTGTCTAAAAAGAAAGATGAAGATGCTCGGTTGCCATCCAAATATTTTTAGATTCTGTAGGGTCACGAAAGGTAATAAAGCAATTTATAATTTGGAGATACAGTATTAAATAATAATTATTAACAAGAATATTTATCCAATGCAAATAAAAATAGATAGCACCAGATATTATACAGTTTTACAATATTTTGATGATAGAAATTATAATAAATCACAAGAGTGTGGTTACCATAGTGATAGTAAATGTTCTTTTAGCTCCAGAAATGTTGAGCATTATGAACCAGCATATATTACTGGCAATATTATTAGATACTATTTAAATTTCGTAACAGTAAATAATATGAGTATTTTATACTAAGAATAGAGTCACCTTAGATAATTAACAATTTAGAATTAAAATTTATTTAAAGAAATATATACCATCTGCCTAATGAAATGAAAGGTGTTATATATCAGCAAATAAAGCTGCATATTGCTAAAGTAATAGCACATGGACTTTTATTCTTACATGATAAAATTATTATTCATTGAGAACTTGTAAGTACTATGTTATTTTATTGAATTTTATATTTTATTAATTCATTAATAATTTTGACAAGTAGCTTTTTTATCAATCCATGATGCAATTTCTGCTACATGTTCTTTATTAATAACGGTTGAAAATGGTTCAATCGATCTAGTTGGTAATTCTGATATTAAAATAATGCGAGGTAGTAGAATTGATGAAGTAACATTATGATCAGATGATAAAAAACTTTTAATCAGATCTTCTTAAAATTCTTTTTCAAAAATTTGAAAATATAGAAATACATAATTTGCGACATCTTTTCTAGACATTTGAAAGTAACAGATATGAGGTAAATTTCAGAGTAATTTTTAGAGTCATCAGACCAGTATTTAGGATCAGAAGGTAAATTAGGATTTTGTGCAATTCCCACTTTATAACATAATTCCAAATCTTTATTTATCTCTTCAATTTGCAAATCATTACACTTAATAAGTAAAACTAATGCATTCTCATTAATAAAATTAAAATCTTCAGTAATATTCTAATTTATCAAAGAAAGTAGATAAATGAAGCGTCTAAACTTAAAGTTCAATTTTTCATGAAATGTTTAAGTATTGAAATTTTATTAAAA